GTTACCTTGAAAACGTCTTCACTATAGGAGCCAGGAGAGATTTGAAGAGGAAGGTACTCTCCTTCGTTGAAACCCCAAACCCTAGCAACGTTCATTCCAACGGCGGAGGCTTGCCGGAGCGCAGCCGTCACGGGGGGTCTTCCTCCATACACCGTATCAGCCGCCGTAGTCATCATCCAATAAGCATTGAAACCGTTTAAGTAAACTCGTTCTCCGTTCAATACAAACTGCGTGCCGTTTCTTCCGACGAAGCCTGTCTTTGCGGCGACGCAAATGCGGTTGTTTCCGACGAGAAACGTAAGAAGGAAAATGAAAAACGGCAAGATGTTTAACATTGTGTAACTTTTGCCCACTTGGAAAAAAAGAGAGAATGACAACATGAAATTTAAAAGACATTTGTGTGTGTTTGTGTTATATATAGATTACAGATGTCTTAATGCCTACGTATTTGAAAAATATTTAGTTTTTTTTCTACCATTTTTTTGTTTTTTTTTCACCATATTGCATACGTTTATTTGAAAATATATGCACACGTATCTTGTAACGCGTTAAATAATTTATATAAAGTTTCTTTTTTTAACGTTTATCAATTTTCTTGAGCGTTTATTTGTGGATAATTTTTTTTTTATAACGTTTATCAATTTTCTTGAGCGTTTATTTGTGGGTTAAGAAAACTATTATTTCGCAAACTAATAGAAATTATTTGGGTTAAGAAGGAAAAAGATACTTTCGGTTATAAATACGAAATCGAAATAGTATGACTTATGGTTGATCAATAATTAAATGATACGAAACGGTCACACTAATTATTTGCTTTTGAATATAAGCATGACACGCGTGTGGAGTGAAGCTATCATAGTAATTAAGCTTAGTATAATTATAAGATTATTTTTATTTGATTAGGTCAATGACTCAATTATATAAGATGAATTATTGGATTAAAATTCTCAATAGAAATTATCATTGAAATAGAGAAACTTCGTATGGATTTTGTAAGCTTCGATGTTGATTCGGGAGCTGTACCAAATACATCAATCAGATTATCTTTCAGGGCCCAAATTATGGCTCCGAATAGTGACAGCAGATTAGACGGTGCGGGACAAGCGGATTAGATGGTGCGGTGCGGTTCAAGTGCGATGCGTTCAAGAGAAATGCATCATGTGGTTGGTGCGGAACAAACGGTGCGGGACAATGTTTAAATGGTGAATATCATAAGTGCGGAACATATTTAATAATTATTAGTTTTTAATTATTTCTTTTATATATGTCTGTTTATCGGAATATTTTTTTTTAATAGAATTATGTTATCTGACTAAACTAACTCATGCAAAAAAATTTCAAAATTTTCTAAGCTTTTAAAA